ACTAACCCTAACTAACCCTAACTAACCCTAACTAACCCTAACTAACCCTAACTAACCCTAACTAACCCTAACTAACCCTAACTAACCCTAACTAACCCTAACTAACCCTAACTAACCCTAACCCTAACTAACCCTAACCCTAACTAACCCTAACCCTAACTAACCCTAACTAACCCTAACTAACCCTAACTAACCGTAACTTCGGTAAGCCAGTAGGCCGAAACCTGACTTTGAGACACGGTGATGTCTTTTAGAACAAAATATGGTACATCCCAAATCACAGAGAGCTCAAACTCAAAATCATGGGCGCCCTACATGATGCGAAGCCAGGAAGCCACTTTGGTCAATTCAAAACTGTAGAACGTCTTCGGGCACTGTTCTTTTGCCTAAAGATTGACAATGATATCGAAGAATATGTACGGAATTGCGATACGTGTCAAAGCAATAAAAGCTCCAGTCATAAGAAGTATAGGATGCTACAACAGTTAGAAGTCCTCAACACTCCTGGCACTTCCATCTCGATGGACTTTATCGTCAACATTCCAGAATCTGAAGCCCAAACCCTCATCGGGGTTATTGTTGAACGCTTTACGGAAATCTCCTACTTCATACCACTCAAGACCGAGGCAACAAACAAGGAACTTGCGCATATATTCCTTCAAGAAATATGGCGACTATATGGACTATCCGAAGAAATCATATCTGATCGGGACTTTAGATTCGAAAGCAAGTTCTGGCATTCATTGATCAAGCTTCTCGGAGTCAACCTCTGTCTGTCTACGGCATATCGTCCTCAAGCTGACGGGCAAACTGAGAGGGTCAATCAAATGCCAGAGCAATATTTCAGAGACTTTTGGTCCTACCAATAGGATCATTGGGCAAGGTTACTCCTGCTTGCAGAGTACACCTACAAAACGGCAACCCAATAGTCCACTAAAGTATCTCAGTCCTATGCGAACTATGGGTTCGAGCCTGATTCCAATTGGCATTCGCAAACAAGGAAGCTGGACAATACCAATGTTTCCAGCGCCGTACTAGAGCCCCAGTGGAAAGTTCTTTGGAAAACTACAAGGACTGGTATTTTTAAAGTACAGGCCTGGTAGAAGAAATGGTATGACCAGAAGTATATGAAAACTCCAGAACCTGAAGATGGGGATAAGGTGATGATGGACCGACGCAATATGGTTGCCAATCGACCCTCAAGCAAGCTTGACTACAATCAACTATGTCTCTTTGAGGTTTATGAGAAACTTGTTGTTGCGTTCTACATGCTGAAGCTTCCCTCCGAATGGAACATTCATGATGTCTTCCAAATATTTCTGCTGGAGTCCTATCGGGGACTGAAATACCCTCAACGCACTGAAGTCCCTCCTGCTCCAGATGAGGTCGAAGGAGAATACAGTCACGTTCCCCAAGAAATAGCTAATAGCCGATGGCAACAGGCTGGGCATTAGAAAATGTTTGTAGAGTATCGTATTGTTTGGGAGGGCTATCGTTCCGAAGACTCCTGGGAACCATATGAAATTCTGCAAAGAAGAGCTGATGAGGCCCTAAATGTATTTCATCAAAAATAGCCGCAAAAACTTCGGAAAATACGGTGAAACTTCAGGGATACTCAAAACACGGCGTGAGTAGCTCTCTATCTCAGAAGAAATCCGGGAACAAAAACCAACTCTCCTGCACCAGGTTTTTCATCGGGCTGACAGAGTTCGGATACCATTTTTCCCTGAAAACAATGCAAGAAACGATAGAAAACCGAAGCGTGAGGAAACCCGCATAAAAAAGACAAGGGAAAAAGAGAGATTCTTGCTAACATCGAAATCTCCACTAGTGGAACGGAAGGTTCTACGACAAGAGTGGAGAACATGTCATTTTCTTTGTTTTAAAAGACATTTCATGTTAGAGTTTTCCTTCTCTGATGGAGATGGAAACAGGCATGTAGTTTGTATGTAATCACCAATAGAGCTACTGCTTTTCTTCTATGTCAAATACTAATATTCCAGTAAGACTACAGTGGACTCAAAACGAGTCTACCATAGAGGGGAGTAATGTAACAGTGCCACTATAAGGCTGTTACAAAAGAACCTATTCCATCAGTTAAGCCCACGATCTTAAGTAACAGCAGTTTGTTCTTCATCGACTTATGAAGACAAGAGCAGTTGGGCTCGTACCTTTATTCGTGTAGAGGATAGGGATCTCAATGAGTAAGAAGTCTTACAAGTCAAAAATAGGGGGCTGAGCAAGCTTGGAACAGAAGTACAAAGATGGCTGATAGCACAGGGAACCCAGGACGGGAGTTCCCTACCTATGCAGTCGAATCTTTGAGGTTTCATATCTCTGCAACCGATGCTCAAAGATCATGCTTTAGCACTACAGACATGATTTTGGCGGTGTCCCGGAGCTAATGGAAAACCTAATTCCAAAAACACATTTTAATCCCCAACACTAACCTCCGCAGTGTCAAACTGCCGGAATGCTCCTGTTTTGGTCCGGAGTATCTTTGGGGAATGGGAGTGCGACTCAAGCTACTAAAGCAAAATTTCGGTTTACAAACACTCAAATCGGTTCTAATAAAGTTAGAATAAACAATTATTATCTAGTCGGCTGTTTTCAATAGTTCTTCAGATTCCGACCTAGGTTTTGGCAAATTGCATGATTCGACTCAGACAGAAGTTCATTCAAGGTGTCGTAGTTACTCTCCTCTCCCCTGATAGAAAATAGTTGCTGTACCCCCGACTATCAACAGGCAGACTGTCAGTCGGAAAAAGAACTTGAGCAAACGCGCTGTATTCCTATAAGCTACTCGGTGTTGCCCCAGATTGGCCTCTCATCATCAACGGATCTTTAATAGAGAGAAGACCCCTTGAAGTTATAATTTTCTAAACTTGAGAACGTTCAAACATCCAAACTGCATTTTCTTCTTTCTGAACGAGTATCATCAAAACTCGCTCTCTTTATTTACACTCTTCGAAAGGAAGCCACGGTTATGCCTCATCATAGTACGTCAGTTACATGTGGTTGTCGATCGTCATTGACATGGTCGCATATGATTCCACTATATTGGGCCTGTCCGCCAATCTTTCTGCCAATTCGTCAATCTTGACTCCTTTGTTGTAATGCAAGTGGGACACGTTTCTGATGAACTGCGAGTAGTAGGTGGCAAAGTCTCCTTTGCCTTGCCTCATGGGGACGAGTTGGTGGTGGGTGGTACTTCGGGTGTTTAGGTCTCTAAATGAGCCTTCCATGTGGGCGACGTAGAAGGTGACAGAGGAAAAGAAGTCAACAGGATTGGCATTAACAAGTGGTCTGACCTGATCAAGGGCTCTTCCCTCCAAACAGCTGACCGCTTAGATAACCTTTACTGTCTCATTGGCAGTGTTATCGCGGTTGATCTGGTTGGTGTTTTGTTTGATTGGTTCAATAGCGATTGTGAGGGCGTTGCTAACTATCCAATACATATAGTAGAGGTCTCTTCCGGCGTTTCATTCCTGGAGGACAATTCTTGAGTAAAATGTAGTCATATTTGGGTGTGTATTGTTCATTGTATGGGGCGTGTTCTGCGAAGATGAAGAATTGTTCACTGTTCAGTTGGATTTGTTCGATGATAGTAGATTGAGTTGATTGAGCCTGTTGGGTTTCGTCGAAAGATGGGGGGACAAAAATTCCTGTGGGTAGGGTTCTCACAAAGCAGAAGTTCAGGAAGTCTTGCTGGGACATGACAGATATTCCAGATCGGTTGGGGGCAGGGGAGACCTGTGAAAGTCTTCTTTTCCTGCCTGCAGTGCTCCGTGGGGTAGAGGAGCTTGAGGGGGTTGGGTATGCCAGGTTATAAGTATTTTGCTATGGTCACGAAGATTGTTTTCCTTTCTTAAGCAAGGGGTTTGGGGGGGATAAGAGTTCACAATTCAGGGACCAGAGTGACAATAACTTAATATACAAACAGATGTGCGATAAGATTTTTGTATATTATTTGGTCTACGGACATACAGGATCTTGTTTGCGAAAAGGTTTTATTGATTTTGTTAGGATTATAAGTTGTTAATGTTATGTATTAGAGTTTAGTTTAGGAGTATATTTGAAAATTTTCTTTGGGTTTCCGGGTTAGCGGCTCTCAGATAAAACTAACATGTTTCAAAAGAATTCAGTTTGTGGGTTGGAAAAATATAATCCATTACGTTACGAGAAGTAATCCATTTGCTTGGTAATTTTGACCAACCCTAACAAAGGGAGATGGAAAACCAGACTGCAACAATACACAATATGGAATGTCGGTCATGGATCGTCACTCACATATTGGGTTGCAGGTATTGAAATCCGAATTAGGAATCGATGCGTATTCGATCGTGGTTTGAACCTGTACGTTGCTGCTTAGGTTTACAAGTGTTGCAATCTGGTTCAGTTGGGTATACAAAATACAATTCTCGGTCAAAACGAAATACATAAATCTGTATTTGGTGGTGGTTTAAACCTGGATGCGGGTGGTTAGGGTTACGAGCGTTGAAGCGGGATTTTGGTTAGGGTTACGAGCGTCGAAGTGGGATTCGCCCAATGTGGTAACCCGGGGTTCAGAATCCGAAATTCGTGTATTTCATCGAACCACAAGATGGGGAAACACGGTATGATTCAGTTTTGAACGCCGTCATTATTGTAGGATAGAGAAGGCAGGCTCGGTACGGTGCAGTTGTCGATTGTTGTGAGTGTCGGTGATGGAGTGAACCAGGACGGGTTGCCAAGACTCACAGTGAGTTACCCTACTCAACAGCCCCCAACCACCACCTCCGCCCCCGCAATCACGACCACGACCCCCTGTACGCGCATACCTGATGATGGGAATGGACTCAGGTCGTCCTGTTCGACCCATAGCCACGGAGCCCGAAATTGTGGGGCGACGGTTCCCGGGCAACCTCAAAATCCTGTCCGACATTCCACTACTAGATTCTTTATCCTTAACTTCATTTCTTTTAAACATCACCAGTTCTGTAGGCCATCGTGATTTGAAGGGGGCAGTGTCTCGATATGGTGGCAGTGGCGTACAGATACCTGTCGTTGTGTACTCTATCCTTTCCAGAATCGCTGCATCATTTGGTGCAAAATCACTGCCGGTTTGTTGCATGATTTGGAGTAGAATCTTTGCATAGTGGATGCATGAATCGCTGCAGCCTCGGTGCTTGATTTGGTGGTGGCGGAGGTGTCAATTTCGTGCATGTGGAGGTGCTAGATTTGTTGGCGGGGAGCCGGTGGTAGAGGTACGGGCTGTGGAGCTTCGGCCTGTGAAAGTGCGGGCTGTGGAGGTGCGCGCTGTCGCCGAGAGGGTACTGAAGCCTTGCGAATTTGTATGTGTTGTGCGCGCAAACCTGCATTGGGTCGGAACGCAATGCATCCATACAGGTAGAACAACCACCTCACGACGCTTGTTCTAGTAGGCAAAAGCAAGTAAACCGTACATCCCCTATATATCAAAGGAGAAGTGCCTGAAGGGGACTGTACGGCACGTAGCACTGCATACTATAGGGGTCTCCCTGTTTTTGGTGATGGGGGGCTAACCTTAACCCTGAGTTCACCCCATCAGAAATGGGTATAATTGCCGCAAAATCGCTCCAGATTTGTTGCAGATTTGGTGGTAATGCCAGCACACAATTCACTGCAGGGGGTGGTGCTGGATTTGGTGGTGAATGCTTAGTGGCAGACATTCATGTTGGAGAGCAAATGGTGGGGGTGGTATTGAAATGGGCTTACGCTCGGTTGCAGATTTGCATGTTCGAGAATTTGTACGGAGGGAGTTGCGGAAGGGGTTGCGGAAGTGTGTGGTCAACCGGATTTGTATATGGAGTAGGTGAATTTCAATGGTTTGCACATCTGTAACAACGATGCCATGATGGGGCATGACTGTGACTTCCATCATGTAGAAAAATAAAAAATAGAAACACACGAGTTATGATAGGACTTGTTCGAGAGGAAGATAGAGTTTGTTTGTTTGATTGTTTTTGTAGTCTAGGAACTTAATAATTTTAAGGGGTCTTCTCGCTAGTAAAGATCCACTGATGATGGGAGGCCAATCTGGAGCTACACCGGTTCTTTATAGAAGTCCGGTACCCTTATTCAGGTTTTTCGTTCTGACTGGCAATCTGCCTGTCAATAGTCGGGAGCACAGCGACTATTTCCTACAGAGCGGAGTTAGGAGTGTTGCTACCACACTTCAGAGCATCTGCTATCCGAGTCAAATCTAGCAATCTCCGCCAGGAGCTGGTCGCCTCCTAAAAACTAACGGAAACAACCAACCAAACAACAATTGCTTATTCAATTGATTTGGGTGTTTATAAAGCGAAGTTGTGCTTTAGTAGCTTGGGTCACACTCTCACTCCCCAAAGGTGCAGCGGGGTCAAATAGAAGGGTTCCGGCGGTTTGACGCTCCAGGGGTTATTTTTGGCGACCAAAACATACTTTTTTTCCAACG